AGACAGACAGACAGACAGACAGACAGACAGACAGACAGACAGACAGATAGATAGATAGATAGATAGATAGATAGATAGATAGATAGATAGATAGATAGATAGATAGATAGAAATCTAAAATACTGTACTGTAACATTTTAAATAAACAGTCCATGCTGTATGGATTGTTTATTTAAAATGTTACAATATTTAAATTGTTTATTTAAGGAGGGAGATTGGGAGTAACAGGAGTGTGATTGCAGCCTGGCACATGTCATGACAAAGTGTACTGAACTTGAACTGAACTTGGACTACTGTATCCCTACTTCGCGTTTTTTTCACTTAACGCGTGTGGGCGTGGTCTCAAACACCAGTGATAAACGAGGGACTACTGTATCTATTACCTGTAGCTTAGTCAGGGCGTGCAGTCACCGTCACTAAAACCTGGCACGGGTCCTTTTTCATAACCACTGTTGGACCTTTCTTATTGTCTTCCAGTATTGGAGCTTTCTACAGAACACGACTTTCTCAATAACTTTCAAAGGAGGAGGCTGGAGTCATTCCCTAAAAGAAACGGAGATGTTCTGTGTGGTGAAAATGTTTGTGAACGCAGACTGTTTAAACACCGATCACTGATGGAAACGTCTCACCAGCATCACAGACATGAAAATAGTGAGGAGGTCATAATCAGCAGCAGCTGTCAGTCAGTTTTGTAGAAGAGGGAGACCGAGACACGGGAACAATTTAAAATAAAACGAAAGTAATGATCCATTGGTTGCAGAACATTACTCTCTGTTGAACGTGGTCTACTCATGTTGACACTACAAGCCCTGAGAACTCGTACTGCAATGACTGCTGATATATTTTCATAATAAAATACTCGTGTCATCACATCATAATTTTCACACATCAAGTACACACAGAAATAGAAAATACAACCGTATATATGTGCACCCTTTTACTAGCATTGTTAAAGTTATTTTGTAGTATTTGTATGAATTGTGGTTTGACCCGGCACGTTTCTTCTCCTTTATTTAATTGTATGAAGGAAATGTTTAATGCGCAGCTTTAACTTGTATTAGCAATGAAACAAAGAGTCAAATAAAAACCATCTGCTGTAACTTTACAGCAGATTTAATAACCAGATTTAAGAGCTGCATTTCAGGTTTTACCTCGTTAGTTTTTTTTTTGTCCACTTTGAGAGCTGCGTTTAAAATGTTCTCTTAGAGGCCAAATAAAATGTTAACGAGGTCCAGATTTGGCCTGCGGGCCTTGAGTTTGACATCAGTTTTTTAGACTATATGAGCTAACAGAACAAACAACTGGGCTTACAATTATAATATGTAAAGAGATAAAAAAAATTAACGATTGACTATTAGAAGCGGAGCGAACTTTGGCTAATTGGAGAAACTAAGGATAGAGAACAATACGTAAACAGATGCGTAACACCAGCTGACTGGATTTAGTGTTTACAGACTTCCCTGAGAAATGTGAGGTGGAGTTTCCTACAGGACTAGTTTTCATCTCGGCTCAGGCTGCTGCAGAAAGTTGATGTTAAAATGTTCAAACTCTGTTTATCGATCAGTCACCCATGTTCGGTGCGGTTCTGTAACCGTGGACTCGTTTCTTGAATTGTTTGCCTCCGTCTGTGTCGCGGTTTCTTCTGCTCGTCTTTTCCTCCGTCCCTGCGCACCACACAGCTTTGGTTGTTTACGTACTAGTCGTGCGTTTTGGGCTCACGTGAGCACCGGAGGGGGGGTCCTGAGCAGGTACAGTCTAAGCTGAAGGGTGGGGGGGGACTTGGCGTTTGCTTATGAGCTGACTCTGTGACTTAAATTTTGAAGCAGACATTTTGAAAAATCTCTGTATGTCCGTATTCGTGAAAATTGGGGGGAAATCCATGTAATTTACAGAATATCCATCAGACTTGACACGTATGAATGAACTGAGGTGGATAAATTCAGCGATGGCAAAAATAGGAAGGACTTTTTTAAAATAGATTTCGTCAGTCAGTGCAGGCGGCGTGGGACTCTTGATTAGACGACCAAATGGCCGCCTGTTACTGAGAAGGCAGAGAACAGAACTAGTAGTACAAAGACCAAACATACTTATTTGATAAAAGAGCTCAGTGTGATGTTTTTTATTGCTCTGCCACAGATTCTGCAACAAGCTTTAAGGAAATAAAGGCCTAGTACTTGTTGCCTGCACCCATCTCCTCATGCCAAAGAATTAAAGAAAGATGTTGCACAATTTGTTGGCGGTCAGAATATGTGCTGGGGATGACTCTCAGCTACAACCACAAACTTTCAGGCTTAAAATCTGCCATTTTGTGTTTGCAAAAGTTACTTGGCTGGGACAGCCATTTTGAACCAGGTTGACTCAAAAGTTCACGTGTTGCACACTTAAAATCCGTTTTAAATGTTGCCAATGTGCAGTTCTCTGTGCCTTATATGAATGCAGGTTCTGACTCCACGTATTTTTCTGTCCACTTTCAGGAGTACCCGGTTCTGCCTTACTTGATCTTTGTCCTGAAGCAGTTTCTGCTGCAGAGAGATCTGAATGAAGTCTTCACTGGGGGCATTAGCTCCTACAGCCTCATCCTTATGGTCATTAGTTTCCTACAGGTACAGTCATTCAATCCCACAGTGTCATTCATGTTAGAAGACATGTGGAGCAGCACAGATTAAGTAATATAAACCCAACACTTTTGTGTTTGCTCACATTTTTCATGAGCTGAGCTCAAAGATCTAAGACTTTTTCTACACACAAAAGGTCTATCTCTCAAATATTGGTCGTAGATAAGTTTAAATCTGTGTTAGTGAGCATTTCTCCTTTGCTGAGATAATCCAGCCACCTCACAGGTGCGGCAGATCAAGATGCTGATTAGACAGCAGGATTATTGCACAGGTGTTCCTTCGGCTGACCACAATAAAAGGCCACTCTAAAATGTGCAGTTTTACCTGTATTTAAGGAGGGATGTCCAGAAAACCAGTTGGTATCTGTGTGACCACCGTTGGCCTCAGGCAGTGCAACACATCTTCACATATAGAGTTGATCAGGTTGTTGACTGAGGCCTGTGGAATGTCGGCCCACTACTCTTCAATGGCTGTTTAAAGCTGATGGATGTTGTCAGGAACTGGGACACGCTGCCGTGTACGGTGATCCAGAGCTTCCCAGACATGCTCAGTGGGTGACATGTCCAGTTAGTATGCTGGCCATGCAAGAACTGGGAGGTTTTCAGCTTCCAGGAATTGTGTACAGATCCTTGCAACATGGGGCTGTGTATTATCCTGATGCAACACGAGGTGATGGTCGGGGATGAACTGCACAACAATGAACCTCAGGATCTCGTCACTGCATCTCTGTGCATTCAAAGTGCCGTCAATAAAACGCATCTGTGCTGGTTACATACGTCTGCCCACACCGGAACCCCGTCGCGACCGTGGACCACTCGATTCACAACGTTGACATCAGCAATTCATTCGTGAGGAGAACACCTCTCCAATGTGCCGTGCACCATCGAATGGGAGCATTTGTCCACTCAGGTCTGTTACAACGATGAACTGTAGTCAAGTGGAGACCCCGATGCATGCACCCCCAACGAGCATGCAGATGAGCTTCCCTGAGACGGTTTTTGAGTTTGTGCAGAAATTCTTTGCTTATGCAAACTAACTGTTGCTGCAGCTGTCTGGATGGCTGGTCTGAGACCATCTTAGAGGTGAAGCTGGATGTGGAGGTCCTGGGCTGGTGCGGTTACACGTGGTCTGTGGTTGTGTGGTCGGTTGGATGTTCTGCCACATTCTCTGAAACTCCTTCAGAGATGTCTTATGGCAATAAAAATGAACATTCAGTTCACGGGCAACAGCTCTCGTGGACATTCCTGCAGCCACTGAGCCAATTGCTGCTCCCTCAGAACTTGCAACACCTGTGGCACTGTGTGATAAAACTGCACATTTTAGTGGTGGCCTTTTATTGTGGTCAGCCGAAGGAACACCTGTGCAATAATCCTGCTGTCTAATCAGCATCTTGGTCTGCCACACCTGTGAGGTGGATGGATTATCTCGTCAAAGGAGACGTGCTCACTAACACAGATTTATACAACTTTGTGAACAATATTTGAGAGAAAAAGGCCGTCTGTGTACGGAGAAAACTCTTAATGTTTGAGTTCAGCTCATGAAAAATGTGAGCAAAAACAAAAGTGTTGTGTTTATATTTTTGTTCAGTGTAGTTCAGTTAAATATAATTTGTTGACGTGTGTTGTAGACTGACATAAATGAGCTGGAGTAAAGACCAATGACGTTTGTTAAATGCATCTTAGTCGTCTTTTCTTTGCCTTTTAGCTTCATCCTCGTATTGATGCCAGAATCCCCAACCAGAACTTGGGCATGTTACTGATTGAGTTCTTTGAGTTGTATGGCCGCCAGTTCAACTACTTGAAAACAGCGATTCGCCTCACAAATGGAGGTGCTTATGTATCCAAAGAGGAAATTATGAAGGCCATGACCAATGGAAACAGGCCGTCTATGCTCTGTATAGAGGACCCACTGGTTCCAGGTCAGTCTGTGTCCCAGTCCACTACTCAAAGTGAATATGAAAAATATTTTTTACAGTTATTTTTATTGTTCTGGTTCACATTTGACATTCTGTTTTTCTTCTGTTCCCCTCATGTAGGTAATGATGTGGGTAGAGGTTCTTATGGTGCCATGCAAGTCAAGCAGGCGTTTGACTATGCCTATATTGTGCTGAGTCATGCTGTGTCACCGCTCGCAAGGTCCTATCCCAACAAAGACTGTGAAAGGTTAGAGTGGAGTGCATTCAGAGCTGGTTTGCATTTCATGGAATAAAGAGGTATTTGTTTAAAATGCGTCTCTGTTGTGCCTGCAGCACGTTGGGGAGGATCATCAGGTTGACCCAGGAAGTTATCAAGTACAGGGAATGGATCATTAAGAAGTGGGGAGGCAAGGATTCACCACCAACGGACAGCAGAGGTACAAGTCAGATTTTAAGATGCTGGTAATGGTGTCGTTCATTTCAAAACGGAGACCGTATGAACAATAAGACCGAGTAGAAAATGCATTCTTTGTAGTAAATTTACTGTGTAGGTTAATAAAATTGTTCAAATTCGGTTCTTGTTTAAGGCTGAGTCCATAATACATCAACATACACATTTTTTTTTAATAGTGTCATCTCCCAAAGAGCCAGTTTCCAGTCAGGAGCCATGTGAGCCTTGTGGTGGGGGCGTTGGAGGTTCAGAGGAGCAGCAAAGGGACTCTGCGTCACCTCACAGCGCAGACTCCCCCATGTCCATCTCCAGCCTGCAGCAGCACTCGTCAGACTCGTCGGTGTCTTCACTGTCCGGGTCAGACAACGTAAGAAATCACACTCTTTCAGGCTTTCTTATGTAGCGACCGTGTTCTTATGTGTGACTACTGTATATACTAAAAAACTAACACACACATATATAAAGTATCTATGAATATAAGGAGATCATTCCGTGCCAAATCATCCAATGGGGGAAAAAAAAAGTAAACCCGACCCTCTCAGATTTTGATGAAACTTTGTATGTTTGTTAATTGTGATCCCACAGCACAATCAGATCTTTGGTTAATCAGACCAGTGAGTCCAGAAATATGACCCCCCACAACTTTTTGGATTTTCTGCAAAATTGGCTGTGGCCTTCTCTTCAACCTCAATCATCTGAAACTACTGGGTCAATTTTTACAAACTTGGTGTCATTGTAAATGAATTTTGTTAAGGATTCTAAATCTGCCCCTGTTTTTGACTTGTCCCTGTTAGTTAGGGTCCATAGACCTCGTGGCACGGAGTGACTGCGTGTATATATTTTACCCACTCCATATTTACATGTGGTAGTTTGTTAATCTCAGCCTTTCCTTTTGGACCTTTCAGGACTCTGATTCAGCAGTGCCATGTCCCCTGCCTCCACCAACCTTGCCAGCATATGTGTCTTTCCCTCCACTTGGCTTAGCCTTAGCACCGGGCCTCAACATGGCAGCCGGAAAGCACGGCATGGGAGGACACCATCTGCTCCTTCCTCCAGGTTCACAGGTAGATTCATGGCTTCAGTGTTTTATGGAGATTTGAAAATGTAAACGTGGAATTTGGGGATATATAGATCCTTTAGGTAAATAGAATTTGTTTCTAAAATGTGACTTTTTATAAAAATTGCTAAATAAAAAACATCATTTGTACAGGCTCATATTTCGCTGCCTGGAGGTTTAGCGCTGCACTCCATGCCTGGCAGACAGTTGTCTATGGACACTGGGCTACCTCCTTTCTTCCACTTGCCCCCCCCAGCCCATGCCCCTGCTCCTTCCAGCACCCAGCCCCCACCCAGCCCCCACTCCAGCCACGCACACAAGGTAGGCACCGGATGCCACGAACACACAGATTTAATCCTGTTGTCTCTCTCTGAAGCAGTTCTTCTTCGTCTCTGTTCACTTTTTTATTCTTTTTGTATTTTCATATTTTGTCTTATCTGATTAGAGGCACTGATGTATATTATTTTCCCCATATGATGTGCAACAGTCATTCTTGTTACTTTTACTTTTTTATAGGCAAAACCTCATGGTACTGAGAGAAAACTCAAATTCTGTAACAATCATTTTCAGTTCGCAGCTTCTCATCTGATAGTGTAATCAGCAAATTACTCACAAGTACTCTAAAATCAAAATGGTCTAAATTCTTCAAAGGTGTGCACCATTCTGTTTCTGCTCCAGTTTTGCACATCACTTGCACCTGCTATCTGCTCTGTCTCAGCGTTGCATTCCTAACAAAACTGGACTAATTGTACGTCAGAGAGAACTCTGTCAGGTTCATCAGGCGTGTGCATTTTGCACTCTTTAAATCAACTAGAAAAAAATAGCATTTTCAGCAAAAATGTAGTGAATGCTGATCGCTGAAAGTCTTTGCTGATTTCTTTAAGAAGCTGAAACTGATTTGTCAAAGTTGAAGCAAGTCGAACAGATGTTGAAACGAGCACAGCGGCAGCTGAAAGCCTGAGCAGAGGCTCGTTCAGATCATGAGCTAAAACAAGCAGAACACAAGTTAAATTGAAAACCAACAATGAAAAGTTAAAATAAGCAAAACGATCGCAAAAACTAAATTTATTTTGGATAAACAGTTGAAACCAGCTCAAGGTTAGCTAAATTAGATTTCACATGTTGATGTGAAGTACTACCTGTAAGTTTTGTAATCATGATTTCTATCAAATATATCTGTAACAACAGGATTTTAGGAACTTTATTAACAATTTATTTGTAGGAGCAACACTCATCCCTGAACAAAAGGATGTGATTATATTTTTTCAGATGAGCATGCCCTCTGAATATGAACTCACCTGTGAATCAAATCTCCTGTGACACAGTTAACAACAACTCAGAAGATGGTAAATATTTGTTGCTAAATGAGTGTCACAAGTTAAAGAATGAGGCAGCAGTAAATGTGCCTGTAAATGTCTCATTTAAATGTGGGCAAACTGCATCAGAGCAGAGAAATGCTGTTTAGTTGACAGCACAGGCTGAGGCGCAGGTCTCCCTTTTTGAGTGCTTTGGGAATTGGATGCTCAAAACTTTTAATTTGTGCTCACTAGATTTTCGTCAGACTTAAAATAAAGGTCTTCATTCTACAAAGTGTTAGTTAAAACAATTTTCTCACTAAAAATGCTTATTTGCAAGTGAATAATCTTTGTTTTAAAGCAGCAGAATAAAGTTGTTCTGTAAAATATCAGTGTTACTGAGCACAGGGTGTTAATTGTAACTCAGTACAACTTTAAAAATCAGGCTTTGTTCCAGACACTCATATGGACAGAAAAAAACAACGAGCTCAGTGGGCCTTGACCGGACATGGGTTACCGGGGCCCCGCCCTGGAGCTAGATCTGGGGGCGGGGCTCATCAGCAAGCACCTTGTGACCGGGTCTCTACCCATGGGGCCAGTCGGGCTCAGCCTGAACAAGTAACATGGGTATCCTTGATGTGGGCCCACCACCTACAGGAGGGGTCGGGTGTATGATTCCATGGGCAGTGACCTTGGCTTACCAAAGCTGGTTCTTGGGACATGGAATGTCCCCTCAGGTGGGGAAAAAACCTGAGCTTGTGCGTGAGGTTGAGAGGTACAGATTAGAGGTACCTAGGGTTGGGCTCACCTCATGGGCTCTGGAACCATCTCCTTGAGAACTGGGCTGTTTCTGAGGCAAAAGCTCAGATGTGGGAGGAGTTCAATGAGGGCTTGGATAGAGACTCTCGTTCGGCTCCGAGGAGATTCAGGCAAACCATCAGGCGGCTGAGGAGGAGAAAACAGCTCTGTTCTAACAGTGTGTTCAGTGAAGGTGGGGTGCTGTTGATCTCAACCAGTGATGTTGTCAGGAGGTGGAAGGAATACTTCTTGGACCTTCTCAATCCCACCAGCACGTCTTCCATGTAGGAAGTGGAGTCGGGGGACTTTGGGGTTGGTCTGTCCATAACTGTGGCTGAGGTCGCCGAGGTTGTAAAAAAGCTCCATGGATGGATGAGCATCAGCACCTCCAAATCTGAGGCCATGGTCGTCAACCGGAAATGGGTGGATTGTTCTCTTCAGGTCGAGGGTGAGGTTCTGCCTCAAGTGGAGGAGTTCAAGTAGCTCAGGGTTTTGTTCATGAGATGGAGTGAGAAGTTCAGTTCTCTGGAGAGACTCAGAGTAGAACCTCTGCCCCTCCACATCGAAGAGAGTCAGTCGAGTTGGTTCAGACATCTGGATGCTTCCTGGGTGCCTCCTTAGGGAGGTGCTTCGGGTATGTCCAACTGTGAGGAGACCCTGGGGAAGACCCAGGACACGCTGGAGAGTATATGTCTATTGAATGGCCTGGGAACACCTTGGAGTCCTCCCAGAAGAGCTGGAAAGAGATGTCTGGACCTCCCTGCTCAAGCTGCTGCCCCCGTGACCCGACTTCAGAATAAGCAGAAGAGGATGGATGGATGGATGGATGGATGGATGGATGGATGGACGGCTTTGATCAGGACTTTCTACAACTCTAAATTTCTTTTTCTTTTTTTTCTGAGCTGTTCGTGTGGTGGGGGGTCCAGATATTATGAAAACATTTACCAGAGATTTTTATGAGCAATGCAACCCCCAGTTAAAAATAAACAAAACTTTTTTAACACATTTGTTATATTTAAATAAGAATGTTTGTTTATAATTCTCATCTAAAAACATACTGTAATTAGATTAAAATCTACACCTGTCTGTATGAAAACTCTATAATGATAGTTGTTGTTGTTGTTGTTGACTCCTGTTTTTTCCCTCCTGCTCTTTTCAGAACGGAGCGAAGTTTAACATGAAGGGCTTCTTCAACCAGCCGCTGGTCAACAGTGCAGCTGTGGTGAACCGCGGACACGCCCAGTATCACGGCAAGTCCTGGAGACGCAGGAAGAGGGACAGCCTTCCTGTCAGCCTCAGCAGATAGAAACCACTTCCTTTAGTCCCCCCTTCCTCTCTGGCTGCAAACCCTCAGTCTTCAGTCACCTTAAAGGACGACAGATGAACACCTTAACGATCTGCCTCTTCCTCCCACTGTCCGTTTTGTTGTTGTTTTTGTTTCCTCCCTGGTGTTATGTTCCTGTCTGATTTGTGTTTTTTGTTTAGTCAGACTTGACGATGGCGTCGCCAGCTTCAGTTGACCTCATCCTGACCCCTGCAGCCAAGCTGCCAGGGTTTGGTGTTACACTTTTAATTTTAACGTTTATGTTTTTTAACAGCACACAAGAACAAACCTTTTTTTTTTTCATTTTGTGCAATAATGTTATATTTCTTTTTGAAATTAAAGTGCTTATTTAATTTTTTTTGTGTGTTTACATAAAGACATTTTATATAATTGTTTTTATTTTTGTAAAAGTTTTGTTTACGAAACATTTCCTCGGGCAGCATGTTTGCAGTTTCAGTCTGTGTTGTGATTTGTCGACAGGTTGGAATGGACCTTAATTTAAAGCCCCCCCCCCCCCCCCTTTTTTTAAAAAGCTGTTTAATTTTCTGAAGAAAGGGAAATATTTTATCGCGTTGTTCCTTCCGTTTTTCCTCCCGAGTGTTGGGAAATGGATGGATTGTAAATTTCTGATGGACGTTTTGTCCCCAGTGAGTGAGACAGAATCCCAACAAGGTGACAGACAGGTCTTTGGATTGCCACATGGAGATTGTGGGTGTGTATATGTACATGTGTGTTACTGCCATGTTTTGTCAGGCACTGGACGGCTGGCGGGAGCCTGAATGTTTCACCCCGGCTGAATATTTTTCTTTTGTCCCACCTAAAGTAACGTAACGACTTCCAATCAGCGCGGGGCTTTCACCCGGGGGAGGCGGCTCTGTTTAACCCACGCAGTCGTGCTTCGTCTCAGCGCTTCATAAAATCATTGGAGCCAAGAATCCCTCGACTTCGTTGAACTTAATTTAGCAGATCGAGCTCAGGCTGAGCCACGTTACTCCATGTGCGAGCCCTCCTGGTGCGCTCCCTCTGTCTAGAGGAGTAAATCAGTGCAACACAGCTAATTTGCTGGGGGGGGGGGGGGGGGGGGGGGGG